TTTTTTTTTCTTTTCAGGATAGTTGAAACTGAAACATTCTTGTAGATCTAGAACAGCCTTTGATGATGAACTCCTATTTTGTGTCATGAAAGATTTCTTAAAAACACCTGTTAATCTCCTTCCACATCTACCGTAGAATAATTTGGATGATGAATTGCTAACTTCCCTACTGCTAATTAAATTTTAATTCGAATGAAATAACTTATGGCATTTCTCATATGTTCATTCCTTTGTCAAATTTCAAATGTGGCTGCATCTCTTCTTGATTTTCTAGGGACCCTTACAATGCAATTGAAGCCATAGACCCAGAGAAACTGAATGTCTTTCGGACAGTCAGAGAGATAACAGGTAATTGTTCAAAATGCAATTGTTGTGCTATGAACTATGTAACTTTGATGTTTTCTTGAAAACATTTATGTATAAGACGAATCAACAACTCATTTTAAAAGCAAATTCTAGTTTATAAAAACTCATGTCATTTTGAACAATGGTGGTCTTATTGGATTCTGTCCACATTTTGAAAGCTTGTGGAATTACAATATAAATAACCTTGAAATTTTGCTGTTAGTGTTTTTGCAAGTGTCAACTGATCTTTGAACCCATGTTTATCTATTTACTTTGTCATAAGAAGTATTATTGAGCACGGGTAACATGTAGTATTTGTTTAGCACGCATATTCTGAGCACCTAATATGTTCAAGGCTGTGTTAGTAGGTGATATGGGCCCATAGATATGAATAAGACATGGATTTACCATCAAAAAATATAAAAATCTAATGAGGAAAGTTAGATATGTATGTTATTGGCTTAGAACACAAGGTAGATACTGACATCGTCACTATACAGATGAAGTGGTTAAGGATTTCAGAAGATTGAACTACATTTTTCTCTTTATCTAGTTAAACTACATCTTTGCATCTATAAGAATAAGTGAAATTGAGTCATTTAAATATATACGATTTTATTGGGTAAGGCACTCAATCTCAGAATAATGAATATGTAATAGAATGCTTCAAAGATAGAAATTTTCACTGCCCTTTTCTTACCACCCTCTTTCAATACATTTTCATCATAGTTCAATAAAAATCAACACTATTACTAAGACAATGATATTCTGATTAATTTTTATTGCCGCTCTCACTTGTAGGTTTCTTGAACATACAATCATGGCCCCCAAATATGACTGACTTCAGTGTTTTTTCTAACCTGGTGACCATTGGTGGAAGAGTACTCTACAGGTAGGTACATATGTTTAAACCTGCAGGTCTCCCAAATTTCAAAAGGAACATCACATATACATTAAGTCAAAACCATCACTCTATTGATTTACTAATTCTGGGGAAATCATGTTTCCATGCTTAATTCCAAAGACAATGAAAATACCCCTATGATGATATAAAGTATTATAGAATACATAGTTTGAGATATATATATACACACACACACACACACACACACACACACATATATATAGTCTACAACTCAAAGTAATGTTCATGTTTTGCAGATATGGAATATATGATGTGAGGTATAAAAATTAAATCTTTCGATCATATGTTATCATAATTAAAAGACAGAGTTGAGTGACTTGGTAATGGCCCAGATGTGTGATATAAATGCTCTTGTACTAGGAGGCTCTGTTTTTGTCTCTGGTGCTGTCATTTGAACTACACATCTTAGGGTTGATGTTTCAGGAATTGGTGCACCACTCTGCATACAGCACTATTTAAAAATGGAACAGAAAAATTCAGGCTGAGAAGAATATTTTTTTAAAATTCTAATGTCAATATTTTTAATTCACATGTTAACAATAAATTACAAGCAACTACTTTTTATTTTAGGTTTCTCTGATTTTATCTCCATAAAGTTCTTATTCATTAACAATTAAAAGTTAATTTACACAACAGGGGTTTTATTTAATGTCTGCTTAAGTTCAAAAGATGTCTAAAATC